CACGCATGAGCATACACGGCTGGGCTGCATAAATACGACGGAGAATCCAGCAGTTGAATCAGTCTTAGACGGAAAGCACGGAAGATCACTTCGCCCACTGCCTCATCACCTTTGAAAATGTCCACCACAGTTGTGTACGAAACATCAGGAAGAAATTCCGATAGACGACGGCTTCAAAGCCCGGAAAACATTCCTAAATGTAATTTAACCGGCCGTGAAAGCCTTCATAGTCTGATAACGTTTCCTTTGTTCACATTATAATAGTTTTTTTTAAATGATTCCTTAAAGTTGCTTAAAGAATGGTTAAACAGAGCTCTTTGCTTGTGCCAAAATAATTACTTACTTATATCAGATAATTTTTTTGGGCTAGCTTATTCATTTCTTTTATTACAATCAATCTTAAACTCAATATCAAGACTTTTGTACCAATGAAATAACTCGTAACATCTCGTTTATTATTATTATTCTTATATTCTTCTGTTATATAATTTTAGGGAAACAAATCGACTATCTAAAGGGTCGATTATCTAAGTATTCTTTTCATATGCATTAGAAATTTTCGGATTCTTTTGACCCTAAATATATTATTTTCGCCATTTATAATAAAATTTAAATAGTTCATAAACCTTCCAAAAATAAACCATGATACATATTTAAAAAGCCTCAATTTATAACTTATTATAACTTATCGTTGGCACACTTGGTTGTGGTTTTTTGCTCTCCAAACCGTCAGAAAACAATAATTTTTTGATTTAGAGCCAACAAATTTCATAATCAAATTACAAGGTAGAAACATTACACTTAGAAAGTAAACGTGTTGAAAACAATGCACTTCTTTGGTTGCGAAAGCAAAATCTCAAACAATATTAAGTCTCTATTTTCTACTTCAGGTTATCTCAATCGACTCCTTCATCTCCAAGACTTCTTCCGCGTCGCACTCGTGGTATTACTGGTGCAAGTGCTCATGCTAGTGCAAGCGGTTCGGTACCTCGTCCAGACTCTGTACATACTTTCGAATCGGGTTCTAGTGATGCGACGGCAGGTGAAGTTGATTGGAAACAACGATGTCTGGAATTGCAACTGGAGCTGCATAGAACGAAAGCTCAGAGTACCAGAACGAGAGATATGCTTCGAGACAAGGTAAGTCACTTTCAAGTGAACTTATTAATCGTTCTTTAGCCTAGTTTGTATATCGTTTTGGATTTAATTGTCATTAATTTACAAGAAAGCTAGACTGGTAAATTATAGCGGTATGTAAATATATGACGGTTATTTAAAAGTGCTCGCGCCAAATTTAAATTAAGACGCACATTCAAAAATGCGTTGTTGCATCGCCAGCATTTTCTTCTAATGATTTCGTTTGCCATTAGCCTGGTATTGAAATTTACGGATATTTCTGTAGTTGTCGATTAGCAAAAATAGCTGGTTTAATTTAGTACTTTTGATCTCTCCAAATATAAAACACTATTTAGATCAGTGATGATATAGATCAAATTTAGGCGCGACGTAAATAATTAATTGCTTATTTTCGAATAATTGTAATTCGTAGACTGCTGGACTGTGTTACGAGCTGATCCAGGCCGAACTGGAATATCTCATCTTAAATGAATAGTTATTTCTACTTTGTAGGAAATTGGAAATTAACTTGTGTAGCACCGATGTATATTTTATATTTTACATTTTTTACACGCCATAAGTTATTTATACCGAATACAAACTGAACGTTAAAATTGTGAAGGGTCTCCATCAAGGCCTCAGTCAATATTTTTTAAACAACGAGAATGCAATGGCAAGTTAGAGATAAAGTTAATTCTCCTTTTCGCTCTTTTACTCTTAGTCGTTACCAGAGCTTGGAGTTGTTTTAGTTAATTTTGATATAAAAAAATTTGAAAAATTGCTTTATGTACGTCTTAATGTTTTGTCTTTACAGAGCAGTTATACACCCTATTTCTGAATATTTTCTCAGAAATTTTAGGAATTTTACTGGAGGGATCGTAATGGCACTAGTTCAATAGGAGTAAATATTTAAAGCAACATAACCATTTGCTCTGACTTTCGTTAATGAGTACATACTTTCAGACTAGATTTATGACAATAATTACCTACTTTCACAAACATATAGTTACCTTTCGAATTTTTTTCTTTGTGGTGTTTTAACGATAAAAAACATCCTTTTAACATCTGGACAAGTATATGCTTTTCATAGAAAAAGAAACAAATAACTACGAAGAGAGTTAGTCAACTGATAAAAACAGCAACTATTGTTCCAAAAATTCTTTAGAAGGAAACTGGTTGAGCTTAAGGGCTGATTTGTTGATCTTGTCACTATTTGAATACAAAATGATATACTACATCTATTAAACATAATGCTGGCATATATTTGAGCAACAATTTTATAACGATTCGTAATCCAGTGTTTTATAATTATTATGCGCAAACATAGTATTTGTGGTCAATTTCGGGGCAAAATAATCAGATACTCGAGAAGTTTAATCGATTTAAAATATCGCGGCATGTTTACTAATTAATGTTTTAAGCATTTACGTAATTGTTTCGTGCTTATAATTGCAAACTTCTGTTTTCATGCAATTAATGTAGGCTATTTTACCAACACTAAAATGTTTATTAAACAACACTAATTTGGTTCATATCGCAAAATTTCATGTTAAGCGTTTAAGTAATTAACGCACATTTATCTTTTTTATTTGTTTTATGTTTTTTGGAGGGCTGTAATTAAATATAATGTTCATACAACTTAATGTCGATGCCATTATTGGTGCACTTTTCATATATACACTCACATCATTTTTAGCAAAGTGTATCGCTTAGTAGAAAAAGTATGTGTACGACTGTATTGCATAATAAAACTGTAACCAAATACAGTTCTAATAGAAGTAAGTAATTAAGGCAGTACTTTCACAGTAGTGGTTCAGAAAACTTTTTCATTTGCATTTTATTTTACATATATTCTCTTTTCATATATTATACCTCATATATAAAAACCTCATGAAATGTGTTTGATTTATTTACTTATTGTTATCTTTGTTGTTTTTTTCTTATCTTGTTTTGACTCTTCATGAGTATCTGCCAATCTATATATGCCTGTTTTCCATTTCATTTAAAAGGCCTTTGAGGAAAATATATGTTTATTGAATAACAACACTGAAAACTATCCTTATTGAAAAATGCGGAAATGTTACTTATTGAAACTATATTTTGGTGGCATTTTTTGGCAGTTTTGAAGCGATCAAAATCCATAATTTACATATTTCTATTATCGATTGCGACCTCTATTTACTGCAGCGGAATTTGTTTTGCTGATTATTTGAATACTTCAATTCAGGATATTTTGAACAGAATATATTTCAAAATAAAAGATTCAATTTAAATGATGTGGTCCATATATCAAACAATCGCACAGTCAGCAAAGTTTTCATCTTTCGTTTTACCTTAAGTTAATTCAACTTTTCGTTATGAATATATATTTTTTAATTTCCGAACTGATGATGAAGATCCCAAAATTACTTTCTTAACGTCTGAAAAGCTTTTTTCCTTTATAAAAACGTATTTCTTCCTTGCTGTCTATTCTTTTCTTCGCTTGGGTTAGGTATATTTTACGTATGCTTCCAATTCAGTTGCTTCGAGCGCTCTTATGTCATTTTGAACCAAATTTCTACCAATAAATATATTGAAAAAGTTAAAGTTTTAAAAATAAAGTATTACTATATGAAATTTGTAATTTTATTAGTTGTTGCAAAATTATGCAAAAATAAAAATATATCTATACAATTTATAACGAACTTGAAATATAGTATTCAATTTTTTTAATAACTGTATATATCAAGGTACTTAAACCAATTATCTAAAAGCAAAACCCGAATTAGTTATTGATCCATTCAGAAAACGTGAAATCAAAATATAACCACCAAATTAAATTTGAATCGAAGGAATGTTGGAATTATTTCACTTACCAGTACATATTCTCGATTCCTGGCCGGAGGCAATATAGTACAGCACACAGTTATTGATTTTAGATTTATAGGGAAACCTTTCCAGATCATATTTCTCAGGATCGAGGAAAAACTCTTCATTGTATTGCAATGCAAATAACGGAATGTAAATTGCCAAGCCTTTCTCTATGCCGATATCGGTATCTTCTATTTTATAATCCACCATGCATGTTCTATCCAGGAATGGAAGTACTACATATTTTCTCACAGTTTCTGAAATTATAAATTTGGTATCTCAACGTGAAATATTTGAATAATCTGTCTATTTGGAACCACACATGGAAAGTCTTGTTTTCTATTAATTAGGCCAGATAATGGTACAAAAATTGTTGAAATTGTTGTCATGTGTTAAGTAGAACGATAAGTAGAATTTGAGCCTTTAGCGTCGTTTTCCTGATTCCTAGAAATGTTTAGTTTCACGTTTGCTTTCCGGTAAAATCGTTTACAGTTTCTATTAAACTTCTTTTGAAATACAAGTTAGTACTATTATAATTACAAAATGCAATTTTTAAAGCAAAAGCAAAGCAAAACTAAAAAAACTATCGAAATAACTATTTTGAGCAGACAATAGGAAAGCGATGGAAATAAGGAACTAAACTCTGATAAGACTTTACATATGATTTAAACATTTTTAGGTTCAGCATCATTTTCTGTAGAACATAATACCCAAAATGGAGACAATTAATTTAGTTTGGTAATATGTTTTATGCAGTGGCCTTAAAAAGGATTATTCTGAAATATTATTACCTAGAATGGTAATTGATTACAAGGACATTATGCCCACATAAAAACGCTTCAAATTGCATTTTTGGGAGAGTTAATGGTTGTTTCGGACATGAATTATACAGGAGGATTAAAAATTGTCGAGCTAATTATACTTTAAGATCAATCTGCGATATGAGAAACAATCATTCATGTAAACCATGAAATCTGATGTTGTGAAATGTGTTGAGCAGTTATGTGATGTACTGAAACCCTTGTAACAAGAGTGCATATTTTCAGGCATATGTTTGATTTTGGAATTCATCTGGAAAACTACTACATTTTGAATCTTCTTCACTAACACGATCTCGATTTCATTTTTAAGAATAAAAGAATAAGTATTTACATGTCTGTAAAATTGATGATTGAATGAATTGATTCACCATGTTTAGATACTCCCTACATACGCTCACATAACACCTCCGACATAATGTCCTCAATTTAAAATTCTCTTGTGGCTAAAATATGGTTGCTCATCTGAAACGCACATATCTAAAAATGTAATTTCCGATATATCATCGGATGTGATTTTATTAACTCAAGGTTCCACTTTTGGATGTTTCAAACCCGGCAGCAGACAATTACATGAAGTGTCCAATAATTATAGTTTCATCTGAAAACATGCACATTCAGAATTACCTTACACGTGTTAATTTATTGCTAACACAAAATGTATGTGTTCAATTTTGTTCATGAGCGATAGTGGATGTTAATGACAAACTGATACAAATAAGTTAATTTTTGTTAGGTCCTTTCCGCTAAAAATAAACATTTGGTGTGCATATCTCTGTTGTTCTTTTAATTTTTTTTTGCGTGTAGAATTTTAAATTTTAGTTCCTTTTGCTCTTACCAAAATAGCTATTAGCATTTTTGCTTTGATTCTCTTCGGTGCAAAAATCAATCAAATCGCTCCCGTTGATGCCTGGGGACGACATTCTAATCGATAGAATTTATTCAAATATCTTGCCTAATCTGTGAGGTTCGGAAAATGATGTATCTAGCGTATTAGCAAGCATACCTGAAAATTGAAGATTTTTCTATTTTATGCAAATGGAGATTGTATCAAAAGTCGACCATTTGTCTGAAATAAGAGAAAAATATTCTAGGAAATGCTGTTATTAAAATAATAATTTAGACGTAATTCATTTTTTGTAAAATTACATGCAATTTATTACACATTCATATCAATAGTTTTACCTCAATAGTATTAAACTTTTTTTGTCAGGGTAATAAAATAAAAGTACGAAGTATAACTTGATTAATAAAAAGCACTTCAGCGAAGCATTCACGTTAAACAAGTTTAATCCATGTTTAGATAAGCAAAGCTTACTAATGGCATCAACCAATGAAAAGATAATTTGAAACCCT